ATGGTGTCCCCCACTGCCACAGCTGCACCCCACTCATGGTGCCCATGGCTCCACTCCAAACCCCAAGCTCCTGTGCGTTGTGTGTTCAACAAGGGCATTTGGTGCCTTTGTCGTTTTGAGTCCCTACAATTTAGGTTACATTAAAATGTAAACTATAGAATACGTGGTCTTAAAAAGGGAGGAAGACTTCTAATATTAGAGGTTTATTTTTTATCTAATTATTAGTATTGTACATTTGCGTGCAATTTAAATTATATTGTGCTTGCTTTTTTTCTATTTTTGTTAATATTCTTTATAATTATTTTCCTATAAAATAACTTTTGTCGTCTGGAATTTAGCACTCGTTGTCCCTAGAGTTTATCTCTTGTTCGTTAAAATCATCAAATATAGTATAAGAATTGTGGCTTAGGAATGTGAATCTGGCTTCTGTGTGTTGTTTTTTTCTTTCTTTCTTTCTTTCTTTTCTCTCAATAAATGCAGGAGTAGACGTCTAACACTTGGAGATCAACTGACCTGCCTATAAAGCAGGACGTGCTTAGGATTAATAATTGAACTTGAGTTCAATTCCAAATTCACCTTCCTCATCCCGAAGAAAAATTCTCATGGTTTAAAATAAATAAATAAATGCAGGAGTAGACAACTGTTTGTTAGCACATATTCCCTTTTGCCCATAACCACTTCCAATAAATACAGTACACCTGTCGTTTTGTGCCCTTTCTCCCTTCTTTTTCATTTGCCCATGACTGATTTTTTTGGCAAAAATTTAATTTTAGCCCCTCGCTTTATGAAATTTAAAAATTTTAACTCCTCACCCTACACTATGAGAGTTTTAACCTCTTACCTTATTAAGTTTATAAATTTTAACCCTTTATTTATTAAAATTAAAAAAAATAATCTTTATTTTATACTGATTGTAAATTTTATTAGTTAAAAGTAAATTTTTATCAATTAATAGTCAATTAATAATTAATTAACAGAATTAATGAAATATTATAAAGTTAATTCTGTTAACTCTATTAGTTAAAAAAGTATTTTTGTCAGTTAACAATCAACTAACAGTTAACTAATAGAATTAATAATCGATTAACAAAACTAATAAAATATTACAAAATAATGGTTATTTTTTTAATTTTAATAAATGAATTATTAAAAGTGTTATAGAATAAAGTGGGGTCTAAAATCTATAAATTTAATAAGATGAGGGGGTTAATAATATCATAATATAAGATAAGAAACTAAAATATTTAAACTTGATAAGGTGAGAGGTTAAAAATAAATTTTTACCCATTTTTTACTGCCAACCACGTAATGGCCGCAGCTCCTTTTGAGAGAAATGGTGGCACTAAATAATTGCAATATTCAAATCTTAACAACCCCATTTCCCATTTTAAGTTGTGCTAACTCGTAAAGAAATAAAAAAATAAAAAAAAAGATTTCTTCCCCTTTTCATATATATTTGCTAAGCAATGATTTAATTATGTTTTGATTGAAGGGTTTTCGTTTAAAAATATGATCATCACCAATTGCATGTCTAATTTGATGTAACAAGTTAATTTAACTCCAAAAAATAATAATTAGGTGAGTTTCGTGTTAACGACAAATACTCCAAATTAACAGACATCCTAACTGTTTGGGGAAAAAAACAGACATCCTAACCATATATTGATGACATAGCATACTTGTGGTGTGGTATGAGAACTTTGTGGTGATGATTATGTCAACACAATTAATTGTTAATTCTTAGGATTATGCAAAAAAATTTTGATTATATTCAAGTTAATTATTAGAAGCATTTAATACATGTAATTGTAATTTATATTTAATAAAATAGTTGATATCTTTTACTTAGTAGTTTGAAATGAATTTGTAATATTTTTGAACACTCTAAACAGTTATAGAATGATAAAATTAGACAAATTAAATATATTTGAGATATTTTGCCTTTCATTTTTTTACGAGGTGGTTCAATTGATTAAGAGTATAGAATTTTAAGTTGAAAATCTTATATTCAAATCTTAAATCAAATAAAAAAAGATAAAAAAAATAAAATGTTTTTTTATTTAAACAAATTACAATTGAGGGTGGAGGAATTAAACTCAATCTTAAAGACTAAGGTGCACCTATTAAAGGTAACAAAACTACTAAATCGTAATTATTAGGAGTGTTGTTTTTTTTATATAACTTATAAAATAAGATTAAAAAAAAAAAAACATATTTGAAATATCTTGTGTGATAACTTCGGCCCCAATGGGTTTGGACTTTGGAATGAGTCAATGGTCAAGATTTTCTGGGCAACCGATGAATTCACAGGAAACAGGATAAAAGCAAGGTGCTTGAGCTTTTGTTGCCGCTCGAATCTCCAACTTTTGAATGTCTGAAAATCAATGAAGGCCGTGTTTGACTGGGTCCAATTGAATTATTTGCAAGCATTATTCATGCAGTAGTACTTTCGAACCTTCCCTTGCCATCCTCATTCATTAGATATAATTTTCAATTACACCTTAGTATTATAATTAAAAGAGACTAAAATTTTTAAGATTGAATAATTTTATACTTTATCTTTTAATTCCTGCCACCTGCACGCCTATAACTAGAATCTAAAATTTTTTGATCCATTTAAAGGAAATATTATTATTAGACC